CCCCCCCCTCACCCCTTTTCAAACTCCAGCACGCCAAGGGGGGCACACACGCGATTGGAGTCTCGCTATTCATCCCCCCAACAATAAGGGCTCCTAGGTTGTGTGGTGCGGAGGTGCTCCCCGTATCGAATGTTTTTGTCCTTGCCCGTCCAAGTAACGCACCTCTCGTCGGGCGTTCAGCTAGCGTGCCTTTCTGAACCGGGGTCTATTTTATGTTCGAAGGTGCTATGATCATGAATGCTTTATCCTTGTATGTCCTCGCTTGCAGGTAACTCGGCTTGTTTGTTCAAAAAGGATTTGTGTACAAGCTAGGGCCAAGACGATTTCTGGAGATTCTTTGTGATTTGCGACCGTTGTTTTAGGATTACAGTGGTGCATTGACATAATATTTCTACTTTTATACAATGGAAGTGATTGTTTAAGTCAAAATGTTTCCTTTACCATGTTTAGCAAAACAGAACAGTTATTATTATCATTATTAAAGTAGATAACATGTGTTATTTTGTATCTTTTTCAATAAACTAATTTTGATTTTTGTAAGCGAATATCTCACAAACAAACAAATTGTAAATATAACACATGGAATCAGTCCTGGCTTTCTGGAGGGATATTCTTGAAATATTTATATAATTTCAGCTGGCGTTCCACCCTTATGAGAAATTACGCTGGTAGCTGACTCTTTACACTTTTGACTAGCTGAAGTTTTTGGATACAAACCCAAAGCTGAGTCAATACTGGCGATTTGGAGACATCAGAAAGTAATTTAAGGTAAGTTTAAAAAACAAAGCTTTAATTCTGTAAATCAAGTTATAGAGCGTACACTTTTAGTCTCCTCTTTCCTTAAAGATAATGTACATCAGTTTATAAAGTGACTCTGTCGTCATAGCTTTCATTTATCTGTCTATCCCTTGGTTTGATATTCCTCCAAGCGCCTGCTATATAATAAATCATAAGAATAGATAAAACTAAAATTTACTTTCAATTTATTGATACCCGTGGGGAAATTTTGAGTACAATAGCATTCAAACATAGATACATATATAAACAGAAACATACAATAACACATCAAAGTTACTTAATTCACATCACATTGATTCAGGCAATTAACATAATA